GGGGGGGGGGGGGGGGGGGGGTATCTATTTTTACAGTCCACATCCTGTGTGTTACATTGTGTGCTACATTACCAGGAGGTGGTACATGACCAGTTTCCTCCTCATTGGGTATCATCAGACATATGGAGCCCAATTATAGCAGGTTATATAGGGTTCAAACCCTCTACCATATACTAAATAAATTACTCTGATAAAGTTATATACCCCTTCCTGTCACCCTGCTGGGTGCCAGGCCCTGGATAACTCCAAAGGCCAATGCACCGCATATAATTGTCTGAAGTGCCAACGCCCATGAGTTCAGTCCCCTGTAGAGGGTTTGAACCCCACTGAATAAGATCTGGCTATGTATGTCTGATGATTCCTCATAAGGAGGAAACTTATTACACAGTGGTCAATGTAACATATTATTTTCTCTATTTCTTTGGTTTGCTAAATCTTCTATCGTGGGCTTCAGTTTTATAATTGTATAGGCATAGTATCTGATATCCCTGAATTGGCATTTGAACAATTTAACTATAGATAGTCAATCTATTTATAGGTGAGGCACCCTAAAGATTGGCAAAACCCCATTTCCTGCCCATATGCCCTCTCCCACAAAAGCCCAGACATACCTTGAGAATGGTCATTGGTGTGGTATATATAATCAATAGAATTGTAAAACTGAGCAACTCAAGTCAGGTTTTAAAGTTAAAAATCCTAAAAACAAAATATGTTAGGTTATTTAATAATTATGCTAAACAAAGCAGATCGATTGGACCCCAAGAACCATTAAGCTGGCTTCCTTATTTCTTTCTCTTACCTATAAAGCTGCACTAGAAAGAGGCTCCCTTTGTCAAGTGAAACGCAGATCTCAGATTGCTTTTGTCCAACTTAATTATCCCACCCTTGTGCACTTGGAATATTTTGGAGCATTTGGGGAGCAGGGGAGGAGAGGCTGGGAAATAGCATCATGAGAACACTCATTTGTGGTTCCCTAGCTCCAGTGAATTGTCCAGTTTGCTGGAGGAGGGTTACAGACACGCAAATCTGTGCCTTGATGTAAACCTCATCCCTGTCTTGTGCACCTTACAAGAGGTTTGAGAATCTGAACTTGTGTAGAAATTCACACCCATTATTATATACGTAAGGCCAAAGCCTTTATTGGAAGGCACACGGTGCATTTATCTTGTTGAAACTAAAAGACATCTTGATGGCATGCATTACATCCCAGCCTGAGTACCATCATACAAGAAAGGCAACATGTAAGCATGGTAACTATTTGAATATGTAATAAAAATCCCACAGTTTAGATATTGTTGAGTTACTTTAGAGACAAGCATCTAAGTTTACTGAAAATACAGGAATCAACATTTAGCTCATCAAAGAACATTCCTGTATCAGGGATTGACTGTAGCATTCTCTCTAGACATCTCAAGCTTCAACTTTTTCTGCTTCAGGAGAATTAAAAATTTAAGGAAAATCATTACTGCTGTTTCAATAGGTATAGGAAGAGGCCACCTTTTTTTTCAATCGGAAAATATTTCTAATATAATTAAGTGGGATCTGTGTACTGGTATTATTTACTCTAATAGGACTACGTTCCAACAAGGATAACATTTGTATAAGCCAATGGCATTTTTAATATTCTTAACAGTACAATAGCAGTCGGAACGATGTATCTACTGTGTCTTACAAAATACATAAATAAAATTCCTGGCCCTGGTCTGTTTCTAAAAATGAAAATCTGAAAACTGGAACATATTTGACACAAAGAACCAACCAACCTTTGAAAATGATTATGTGCCTTAAATCTACCTGTGGAGTAGAAGCTAAGTTTCACAGCAGCATCTTTGGTCAGATGTATAGTTTTTAACCAAAAGCTCAAAAACGAAGAGAACAGTTGTTTGAAGCTCTTCTTGCACTATTGTTTTGTACATTATGTGGATTTTTTTCTGCTAAATAAGCATTTTGATCATGAAATAACATGCTAGAGTTGTAGTTCCCTAATAAACCATGAATATTGTTCATTGGCTGTAATCTTTGCATGTAAATACAAAAATATCTTCACTCTAAGTCCTATATGAAGCAGATGCTATCTTTTTAACAATACGTTGTAATTTTTCCATCTTTTTGCCGCTAATTATATATTCTCTCTAGTTTAATTTTGCGCACAGATGTTAATATATTTATGTAATGTGATGTGTAAAAGTTATTCATAAATTGAATAGTTTACCTTGGTGCAGAGCTGTATAAAAATGCAAAGGGTTTGTAAAATCTTTCAGATTATAATGATCAGAATGTATGCTATGCTTTCTAAATCATAATTTTCATTTATTGTATGAAATGTCTCTTTTTTTTTTTTTTTTTAATGCTGAAAGGCCACTGATTGTAAAGGAGAGAGACCCTTTTGAGTCACTTAACCAGCCTTCACTTTATCAACATTTTATTAAATATTGGGTAGCGGGGGTGACAGTGCGTGGGAAGGTACACTACAC